CAAAATGCATTGTCTGATCCTGCCCCACTTTAGAGACTTGCAACTCTGAATGTGAACTGGGGCAATGCTGCCCTATCAGAAATACCGCATTTTGGATGAGAACTTTAGTGAAGACCCAGCCTGCCCATTCAGGTGGATGTTAAATGTCTCACCATCATTATTTCAAAGAAGAACGGAAGTGCTTTCCACAGTGGCCTGGCCAATGTTTACCTCACAACCAACTTTGGGGGAAAAAAATTACCTGATTATGTACTTCATTGTTGTTTGTGTGGGCTCGTTGAATGCCATTATCTACAGAGTTTCTTACATAACAACAGTGACTCGGCTTCATTAGGTATTTGCAAATTACAGGATTACATCTCTAATTCAAAATACATGTACTGTAAATATCTCAAAAACAATGTAAGGAGTAGGAGCTAGAAGAGGTCATTCTGCCATCAATGCTGTTCCATGACCACTTCATGGCTGATCTTCCACATCAACTCCTTGCACTGTCCCCATATCCCTTAATTCCTTTAGTACCCCAAACTCTTCATAATTTCTGACTTCAGTGCAGTGACAGAGCGTCTACAGTCCTCTGGGGTGGAGAATTCCAAAGATCTGTGTACCCTTTGAATGAAGAAAATTCTCCTCATCTCACTCCAAAATGGATAAACTTGCATTCTGATGCTGTGCCCTCTTATTGTAGATTCTCCAAGTAGGGGAAACATCTGTTCTATCAAATGTCTTAAAAATTCTGTGCCTTTCAGTTGGATCAGCGCTCATTCTTCTAAACCCCGGAGAATCGAAGCATCATTGACTCAATTTTCTCTTGAATGTCACTGACCTGCTGCTGAGAGAAAGTTAATTGCTTTTCATTTGAAAAGCTGCCAATAAATTTGAAAATATCTCATCTTGCTGCAGGATCCAATTGGGATGGTTAGGGAGAAGCTATTAGTTCTGGTGGGGAGAGCACAGAACAAACTTACCATTAGAACTAGGCCATTCAGATTGAGTTTTTCGTACAAAGGGGAGTAGAAATCTTTCCCTGTCTCATCTAAGAACTGAAAAGACTCCGGGTCAAATTGAAAATTTCAAAAGTGAAATTGATTGCTTTTGTTAGGCAAAGGCATTCAAGGAATATTTTTTGTTTAAAATGCATTTATTTAGCACTTTTCCGAAAGACTATATATCTCAAAGCGTAATGTACAGCTTACTTTCTGAAGTGTAGTCATTGTTGTATTGTAGGAAACACAGCAAACTCCCAGCAATAGCAATGTGATAACGACTGGGTAATCTGCCTTTATGACAATGTGTTGAAGGAGAAATATTGGCCAGAACATGGAGGAGAACAGTCCTGCTGTTCTCAACCTAATCCGTGGATCTACTAAATCTACCTGACAAGGCAAAGGGGGACCGTGGTTTAACGTCTGATCTGAAAGAATGCACCTCCGACAGAGCAGCTCCCCTTCAGTACTCCATTGGCTTGTTACCTTTGATTCTTATACTGAAACTCTAGAGTGGGACTTGAACCTTGAAACTTGTAATTCAGAGGCGAGTGTACCGTCTGCTGACCCACAGCTATGGAACCAAATTATGTCAGCAATAGATTGGCTGCGCTCTGACTGAATGGTGGAACGGGTGGAGGGGCTGAGAGGTCTACACATGAACATCCATCTCCACTTTATCTACCCTGCTCTCGATTTAGCGCAGTAACCTTCTGGATGCTAATTCCTGTGGGCTAGCTTGAGTATTGAACTGTGTTGCATCTTCCACTGATGTGTTTTATTGCTACAGTGAAGGTCCATGTTTCCTCAGTCATTGTTAACCCCTCTCAAGGTACTAGGCTGACCCACACAGCAGTACGTGATAAGCCATTTCCTGACTTTGAGTACTACAACTAGAATTTATTCAGCAGCCTTAAATATTAAAACATCCCAAGACTCTTCAAAGAAATGTTGCAAATCAAATTTTGATGCTGATCCACTTGAGATATTAGAACAGGTGGGATAAAGCTTGGCCTCAGAGTTAGGTTTTGCGGAGCAACTTAACGGAGAAAAATAAGATAGAGGTGGGGAGGTTCAGCGAGTTGAAGGAGTGACTTCCAATGGTGGAGTGATTTAAGTTGGGATGTGTAAAAAGCCAGAGGTTGGTAGTGATCCAGGATGGCTTTAGTGTGGGACAAGGTTACAGAGATAGACAGGGAGCAATGCAGTGAATGAATTTGAAATTGAGGATGAGAGATTTTAATAATTAAGATGTTGTTTTGACTGGAAGACGATGTCAGCTGTTGAGTCAAAGGGTGATGGGTGAATGGAGTTCACTGAGAGTAATGACAGGGACAGTATAACTTCGGAAGACCTTCAGTTCGCAGAGGGTGGAAGTTGGGAGGCTGGGCAAAAGTTCATTTCTGCTTATTCATTCACGGGATGTGGGCATCACTAGCCAGGCCAGTATTTATTGCGCATCCCTAATTGCCCAGAAGGCAGTTAAGAGTCAACCGCATTGCTGTAGGTCTGAGGTCAATGTGGCCAGACAAGGTAAGGACGACAGTTTCCTTCCCCAAAGGACATTAATGAACCAGAGCTGTTTTTACAACAATTGACATCGGTTTTATGCTGATTAGACTCTTAGTTGCAGGATTTTTAAAATTAACCTACCTGGGTCCCTGGGTAAATAGCCTAGTGATAATACCACAAGGCCATTGCCTCCCCAGTTGGAATTGAAATCATTTTTTTGTTAATTCAGTGACTGGAATGTCACTGAAAAAGTCAGTATTTATTACTGTTGGAAAATAACTGAGTGGTTTGCTGGGCCTTGTCAGAGGGCAGGTGTGAGTCTGGAGTTGCATGCAGGCCAGCCCAGGTAAGGATGGCACATTTGCTTCTGCAGAGGACTTTGGTGAACCAGATATATTTTGCAGCAATCTGATTTCTGATACTGTCGAGACCATCTCTGGTCTTTCTTTTTCTTTTCTCATTTTTGATTTGGAAGGATGAGCTGAAGTTGAGAATTGAACTTTGAGCAGTCGCTTATTTTGGAAGCGAGAGCAAACAAACGAATGTTTGTTTCTGAGAACTGGCCTGAAAAGATAATTGCAAGTTAATTATAGTTCAAAGAACATTACGGACATTTTAGCTCCAGGATGTGTTACCGTCAAGGGCCGGCAGCTGTTTGGATGTTGCAGTGGTCGATCAAGGGGATGCTAGAGCTGGTCAGCAAACCACAGAGCATGTGGAAAAATGAGAGAGAAGCCAGGGGTTGAACTGGGCTTTTGGGCAGAAGGCTATGTGCTTGGAAAGCTGTGTTTCGAGTTTAACTCTCTCTAGTTTTATGGTCAGTTAAAGAATTAGTGACTATTGTGAGAAAACAATCCCAGTTTGTAAGAAGTAAGTGACGGTTTCTCAGAGCCTGCAGGAAGCTGTTTGCACTGACCACTGACTTTGGAATCCAAACAAGATACAATCCATTGTGCTTGTAATACAACCCATCTGTCAAGGAATTTCATAAAGGCTTTGTAGTCATTGTTGAAACAGTTATCAAAGTGGCCCATTACAACATTTTTTTCTTTTTAATTTATCCTTTTAACTGTGTTAGTCTGTTTGTCTGTGTGTGTGTGTGTGTGTGTGTGTGTGTGTGTATGGGGGTTACAATCAAAGAAAATTAGCTTTAAATCATAAGCATTAATTACCTTGTTGTTTAGCATTGCTGTACTAAAGGTACACTATTAATAATTTGTTAATTTCTGTTTAAGTTATAAATTTGGTATCTGATATTAGTTGTTCTTAAAGCCTGGTTAGGAGCAAGTGGGCAATTTTGAGGTCATCGGCTGTGTTGTGAATCCGGTATTAGTGAGTCTCACTTAGTCTGGCTTGCTATCCCTGTGTCGGAACGGTACTTTTCTAGATTCATTGAATTAACAGGATGTAAATTCCCCGGCTGCCATGGTGGGATTTGAACTCGTTTCCAGATCATCAGCAAGGCCCTTGGATGGTTAACCCATTACCGTATACACTACGCTTTAATACCCTGTTGTCAAGACCGGAGGTAAGAAAGCAATGGATGAGGGTTTCAACAGCCAGAGCACTGAGGCACGGGTGGACGTGGGCAAATGCGAAGGAGATAGGAAATAGGTTGTTTTAGTGATGGTGCCTTGAATGGAGTTTCGCGTATCCCAGCCAATACTTATCCCACAACCGGAAACCGGATCTGAAACCGGATTAACTGATCATTGGCAACATTGCAGTGGACAACTGGCTGCCATGGTTTTCCATGGAGAGGTGGGGAGGCGATGGCCTAGTGATATTATCGCTGGATTGTAATCCAGAGACCCAGATAATGTTCTGGGGACCTGGGTTCGAATCCTGCCATGGCAGGTGGTGGAATTTGAATTCAATAAAATATCTGGAATTAACAATCTAATGATGACTGTGAATTGCCAATTGTCAGGAAAAACCCATCTGATTCACTAATGCCCTTTAGGGAAGGAAACTACCATCCTTACTTGGTCTGGCCTACATGTGAGTCCAGACCCACAGCAATGTGGTTGACTCTTAACTGCCCTCTGAGCAACTAGGGATGGGCAATAAATGCTGCCCAGCCAGTGACGCCCTCATCCCGTGAATGAATAAAAAAAAATTTGATAGTTTATTTGGCTGTAAAGCCCTTTGAGACGGCCTGAGGTGCTGTAGAAATGCAAGTCTTCCATTTGATAGAAGATGCATAAAAAAGTTTGATCAACCAGAGTGTGCTGGAGTGGGTGACCGATCAGGGAAGTGGCCTCCTTACAGTTGAGAGGGGTAGAATGAAACAGTGCAAACACATGGAAACACAACCCTCACCCTAACCCTAAGCTCCCCATCCTGACTTGCAAAAGCGTCTTTGATATTTGAAGTGAAGAAACTATTGGGCTCATTTGTGAGGTCTCTTGGAAAGAGCTGTAATGTGTACTGTCTGCTTTCCCTTCAACTGTGCGACATTGACTTCCTTGCTTTTGTTTTGTCTGTTTATGTGTATTCCAGTGCCAGCCATCGGAGATGCTGCCTGTGTAGACAGACCAGGTTTCTGGGCATTCCGACATGAACAGACCAGAGGAGGCGCAGGAGACGGACGAGGAACCGGGGAGTGAGGACGTGAACGAGGCAGTGGAGGCTGACCTCCAGCACTCAGAGGAGGAGGAGGAGGAGGAGGCTGTGCACCGCGGCAACCGCAAGCGAGGAGGGTGGGTGCGCCCGGCGGACGAGGAGAGCACCTTGGCCAGGTCAGCCAGCACTGAGAGCGGCTTCCACAACCACACAGACAGGGCCGAGGGCGACGTGATCTGTGCGCACGGTGACCCCTACGGGTCCCGGGAGAGACTGCAGGACAACGGAGAGGAGGACGAGCGCTCCTACGCCGTGCACTGCCGGCCAGAGGCGGAGGAGTACACTGAGAACGCCGAGTCAGAGCACGTGGAAGCTGCCAACAGCCGAACTCTCCCGAACGTCTCGCAGTTCAATATGGTGGACCGCGAAGGTGTCCTGGGCTCGGCCTACTCGGGGTACGTTTACAGCCACCGCCCGTTCCACCGCGGCGAGGAAGAACAGTACGCTGAGCCCTACGACGACTATGCAGCTCAGGAGCACGTTTACGAGGAGATCGGTGACGCGCCCGAGCTAGACGGTGGGGAAACCCTCCGGCTGTACGAGCAACAGAGGGAGGAGGCTGAGCACTACCGCAAGGAGGCTCTGGGGGCCAGGCTGCACCACTATGACGAGCGGTCGGACAATGAGTCGGACAGCCCTGAGAAGGAGGCCGAGTTTGCTCCCTACCCCCGGATGGATAGCTACGAGCAAGAGGAGGACATTGACCAGATCGTCGCAGAAGTGAAGCAGAGCATGAGCTCCCAAAGCCTTGACCAGGGCTGTGAGGAAATGCCAGAGGCCGAACAGAACTCAGAACGTGGTGTCGCCCTGGGCAGCGGGCAGGAGGCTGACGATGTCATGTCTGCGCTAAATTCCCGCTCCCTGTCTTCCACAGGCCTGGGAGAGTCTGTGAGGCACACCAGAGAACAAAGGGATGCCATTTCTTTAGCTATTAAGGACATCAAGGAAGCAATAGAAGAAGTAAAAACCAGAACCGTCCGATCGCCTTACACCCCAGATGAGCCAGCAGAACCCATCTGGGTTATGCGACAAGATATTAGCCCGACAGCAGAATGTGAAAACCAACTGGTGATGGAAGGAGATGTAAGTACCTGAAATCTCCAAACAAGGTCTTAGTTTGTCAACACTCCTTGAAGTATTTCAACAAGTCTGCTTGTGCAGCAAGTTGTAGTACCTGAAACAAAAACAGAAATTCCTGGAAAATCTCAGCGGGTCTGGCAGCATCTGCGGAGAGAAAACAGAGTCAATACATGGAGTCCAGTGACCCTTCTTCAGAACCTCGGACCCTAATGTCACTGGGCCAGAATGTTAACTCTGATTTGTCTCTGCACTGAGATTTTCCAGGAATTATTGCTTTCATTTCAGATTTCCAGCATCTGCAATTCTTTTGGGGTTTTTTTTTGGTTGTCAAGGTGTAGCACCTGCGGATTTTGATAAATTGTGCCACATTTACCTTAATTGGAGTTCTCCTGATTGACATTGAGACAAATCCAGAAGGATAGGAATTTATAACTATCACAAAAAAGGGTCACTGGGCTCAACTGGCCGTTTTTAAAATTGCTCACAAAGTCTTGCCCCTCAATCTCCTTTTTTTAAGTCAGAAACACCGGAGAGCAAGATACACCTCCGAGGGATCTAGGGAGGCAATTCCAATGCTGCAGAAGCCAGGCAGCTGGAGCATGTCTCGGAGGGACGATTAACATTGAGGCTGTACAAGAGGTGGGAGTTGGAGAGTGCAGAGAATCTGGAGGGTTATGTGGCTGCAGGGGGTGGGGAGAGAGATAGGGAGTGTGAGACCAGGTATGCATTTGAATCATTGAATGATGCCGTTAAAATGGAACCTTTGCTAGGCATGTGAACCACCGGAGATCAGCAAGTACAAGGGAGATGGGTGAGCAGATGTGATGCAACTTAGGATGAATGGCAACCAAATTGCCCACAACAGAGACCCACAAGCAAACAGAGACTAGGTGATCTTGGTTTTTAATAATGGTGCTTTGAGAGCTAAATTGTGGTCCAAAACCTGGGGAAGTACTCCCGCCTGATCTGTTTTCAAATGTTGGACGTGGGATCTTTACTGTCTACCAGAGAAGGCCTAGATTTCAAACCTTATCCAAGGCAGCATTCCTCGGTCTGTAATGTAGTGATGTACATTATTGAACTCGCAGCACAATCTGATATTAATTTGCAAGGTTTAATTTTCAAAACTTAAATCAATCCAACATTTTAATTCTCTAATGTGATCGTTGTAACTTCTGACTGCCATTTCAATACAGCTAATGCCTGCATTTTAACGAAATGGACTTCCGTCTGCAATGACAGTAAGTTTAGAATTCGCGTTCAGCTTGGGGTTTCTGGACACATTTGTGTTTAAGGTGGAACAATTGAAAATATTAAAAGTTGCGTGAAAAGCACTGCTGAGATCAATAGCAACATGTCAGTGATTCATTGAGCCTGCTGTAGCTCACTACTGATCACTGTCAGCTCAGGGCCAGAAGGTTGGTCCTTCTTCAGAGACTTGGGGATAAAACTCCTAACACTGAGGGACAGCTGTACTGCTGAGACAGCGACGTTATAGGTAAGACACTTAACTGAAGTCCTGTCTGCCATCTCGGGTGGATGTAAAACATCCCATGACCACTACTTTGAAGAAAAACAAGGGGATCTTTCTCCCTGGTGTCCGAGTCAATATTTATGCGTCAATCAACATTGGTAAAACATATCAGATCATTATCACACTGTTGTTTGAGGGCTCTTGCTATGTTAAACTTGGCTGCTGTGTTTCCTACATAACAACAGTGGTGGCTACAGTTCAAAAGTATTTCCTTGGCTGTAAAGCCATCATTGATGCTACATAAGTGCAGTTTATTCCACGTAGGTGGAAGGCAGGCTAACACTTCTGGATGTTGTATGGCAAAAGTGGACTTGGGATGAACGCAGCCTTCCTTTTTGACTCAAATGCAGAAGCCCACAGGGCTGTTCCACCTAACTAGAGCTCTTTCAATGAAAGTTCAGATGAAGGTTGGACAGATGTTGGTGAGACTAACCTGGAGGTGGCACTGTAGTGCAGTATGTACCAGCGAGGCCTTATAGGTGAGTGACTGGCTTGAACTATAACTATCGTTAATGGATTAATTCCTGCTCATGTCCTGCAGGCATTGTATTTGGAAGGACTGCTATAAATGCAGTTGGTGAGAGATGAATGCAAGATGAGGTTTAGGCTCAGGATAATACACCACAAGACGATTGAATGAATCTTAAAATTTAGACATGGGTGATTAAAATTTAGGGAGTTTATTAATTTGAAGCACAGCTGAGAGCAGTCATGTTTAAAACGCATGGATAAGAATTCTTATCCTAAATTTTGTGCAAAAACCCGCCATATAGAATAATCTGCTTACCTCACCGATCTACTAAAATACTGACAAAAACCATGTTACAGGAAGGAATTGATTGCTGTAGAGAATGTAAGGAGGGGATTAAATCTGTGACTGTAGGTATTGACTTCTCTGCTAATGGAAATGTGTCCTTCCTATTCACTCTATCTCGGCCCTTTATAACTTTTTACCACCTCAAGAAAGTCCCTGTCAGACCAACTGCCCCATTAAGAATAGTCACAGGCAATCCAGTTTTTCCTCGTAGCTAATCTTGTTACTTCCTGGTAACATCCTCATAGATGTATAAAGGTAAGTAAATATCCTGGACCTGATCAACTGTATCCCAGCACATTGTGAGAAGCTAAGGAAGAGATTGCTGGGCTCCTAGCAGAGATATTTGTATCACAGACAGCCATGGTTGAGGTGCCCAAAGACTGGAGGGTGGCTAATGTTGTTGTGCTATTATTTAAGGAAGGCTGCAAGGAAAAGCCAAAGAACTATAAACCAGTGAGCCTGACATCAGTGGTGGGTATGTTGTTGGGGGGGATTCTGAGAGACAGGATCGACATTCATTTGGAAAGGTAAGACTTGATAGGAATAGTCAGCATAGATTTGTGCGTGGGAAATCTTGTCTCACAAATTTGATTGGGTTTTTTCAAGAAGATAGATGAATGCAGAGTGGTAGATGTTTTCTACGTGGACTTTAGCAAGGCCGTCGAAAACTTTCTACATAGTAGTGTGGTTAGTAAGGTTAGCTCACATGGAATCCAGGGAGACCTAGCCAATTGGATTCAAACTGGCTTGACAGTAGGAGACAGAGGGTGGTAGGAGAGGGTTGCTGTTCAGATGGAGACCTATGGCTAGTGGTGTGCCACAAGGATTGGCGCAGGGTCCACTATTGTTCATCATTATATAAATGATTTGGATGAGAATATAAGAGGCGTGGTTTGTAAGTTTGTGGATGACACCAAGATTGGTGGTATGGTGGACAGTGAAAAAAGCTATCCACTGGGATCTTGATCAACTGGGCCAGAGGGCTGAGGAATGGCAGATGGAGTTTAATTCAGATAAATGTGAGGCGTTGCATTTTGGTAAGACAAACAAGGTAGCACTTACACAGTTAATGGTAGGGTCTGGCGAGTGTTGTCGTACAGAGAGACCTAAAGGCTGCAGGTACATAGTCTCTTGAAACTGATGTCACTGGTGGATAGGGTGGTGAAGAAGGAGTTGGCACGTTTGCCTTCATCGGTCAAAGCATTGAGTACAGGAGTTGGCATGTCATGTTACGGCTGTTTAAGACATTGGTAAGGCCACATTTGGAGTACTGTGTACAATTCTGGTTGTCCTAATATAGGAAGGATGTTATTCAATTGGAAAGGAGGAAAGAAGATTTTACAGGATGTCACTGAGACTGGAGGGTTTGAGCTACAGGGAGAGGCTGGATAGGCTGGAACTTTTCTCCTGGAGCGTAGGAGGCTAAGGGATGACCTTTAAAGAGATTTATAAAATCATGAGGGGCATGGATAAGGTGAATAGCCAAGATATTTTCCCCGGGTTAGGGGAGTCCAAAACTAGACAGCATAGATTTAAGGTGTGAGGAGAAAGATTTTAAAAAGACACCTGAGTGGCAACTTTTTCATGCAGAGGATGATGCGTGTGTGGAATGAACGCCAGAGGAAGTGGTAGAAGCTGGTACAATTACAACATTTTAAAAGACATTTGTGCATGGATAGGAAAGGTTTAGAGGGATATTGGGCCAAACGCAGCAAATGGGACTAGTTCGTTAGGAAGCCTGGTCAGCATGGACGAGTTGGGCCGAAGGGGCAGTTTCCATGCTGTATGACTCTATCCCTGTATAACCTGTCTGTAACCTCTCTAGTGTAATCACATTCTTCTTATATTACTGGGAACAGCACTGTGCCCAGTGCTCCAGCTGTGATCTAACCCATGTATTATGCAGTTTGAACACATTCTCCCTGCATTTATACTGTAGGTCTTGGTCATTCGAAGAAAATGCCTTATATGCCTTCTTGAATTGTATCTACTTGTTATGCTACCTCCAGGGATCTCTGGTTGTGTACTTCAAAGTTCCTCTGTTGCCCTCAATTCTCAAAGTCCTCTTGTTTCTTGTGTGTTCTGTGGCTTTGTGTGCCCTCCTCAAATGCATTGCCTCTCGCTTATCCAGATTGAATTCCATTTGCCACTTTTTGGTCCACCAGACCCACTCACTGATATCTTCCTGTAGTCTTCTGTACTGTCAGCCGTATGAAGAATGTTTGTACCAAACTTCTCAATCAGACCTCTACCAGTTAAGTCGAAATTACTGACACCACGAACTGTGAGGGGCCCAGCACTAAGCCCCATAGAAACTCTTGTGTTGTGTTGGCTGTTAATAAAACAATTATGCTTTCAGCTTTGGAAGCAGAAACTTTCTAATAAAAGAGTTGCCCTAATTTGGAAGACTATTGAGGAGTATTTAGATATTGTAGGTGTGAACAAAACTCCAGGATCCATATTAAGCATCTGATTTGGCTGATGCTTCATAAGTCAGCTTTGCAAAACCATCTGTTTAAGTGAAGAGTGAATCTGTTTGGCATGGGGATAAAGTTGTCTGTTCAAGTTCCACTGCTGCACTTTAGCACAAAGATCAAGTTGACACAACCAATACAGCACTGAGGGAGTGCTGCCCAGTCAGAGATAACAAGG